TTGGGAAGGGGCTGGGAGACTATGTCTGGAGGCAGTGGGGAGGAAAGGGGTGGGATTTGCTCTGAGTGGGGACCCAGAGCATTGAAAGTGGGTGACAGGTGTCAGTCTTTGAGGCTTAGCTAAAAAAAGGGCAGTAACCTTGAGATGCCTCCGCAGGGATCTGCGTCTTCAGGGAGTCCCCATCTCCTAGCATCTCCAAAGTGTGGCAGAAGAGAGAACTGGGTTGTTGTCCACAGGGCGGGGAGTCTAAGTCCTGATCTGCCTTGCCCCACGCCCTCCGAGGTTAGCCTAGATTCCCTAGAGACTGAGATGGGCCCAAGGGTTATGCTACAGACCCCAGACCCAGCTGACTCAGAAACGACTGAGTCCAATCTAGACACTTACTGAGAGGAGAGTAGACGGGGAAGGACAGGGTTCTATGGCAAAGGACACCAGGAGGGATGTCCCTCAGAGCCGGCCTGGGGGTCCCCAGCACTGGGCGCAGCGCCCACCCACCTTGCCCGTGAGATCGTAGTTCGGACTGCAGGGTGGGGAGCGCTCGGGGGCCTCGCCATCCCCGGTGGTAGCAGCTCCAGGCGTGCCAGTCATGTCCCCGGACAGTCAGAGGTGAGCCGGGCTCACTGCAGGCGAGGGAGAGCGCGGAACCGCCCTGCCCTAGGCTCCTCCCATTCCTCCCTCCCCATCCACCAACTGGCTCGGACCCTGATAGGCTCCTCCTTCCGTCCCGCCATCCCCTCGACGACGCCTGCCAGGATGTCTAGGACTTGCCTAATGTGCGCCCGAGGGATTGGTAGGCCTCCTGAGAGACATTAGCCTAGTTTAGTGTTCTTACAGCACCGCATGAGCCCAGGTACAGGACCAGTCCGCTAAGGTCACAGCGGCGGCGTTAGGTTGCCATCGAGGCAGCTGACCCGGGAGACCCAGCTAGCTGCGCAAGGTGTGGCGCCTGGTTTCCTACTGCGGCTGTGCAGCGTGGCCAGCAGGGGGCGCCGGAGCTCCAGCCAGCGGCCGGCCCGTACTTACCTGCGGGCAGGAGGCTGGGAACGCCCCTGAAGCAGTGTTTGATAGGGAGCTGCATCCTGAGGCTAGCAACTAAGCAGTTCCTTTTTTGCTGATGGACCCCCCAGCTCGAGCTCATCTGAGTCGACTTTTGATCACCGACACTCGCCTTGGAGAGCTCTGGCGCTGTGCCATCTGGGGAGCTTCTGGGTGGTGCTAACACTTTGAGCACTTTGTGGTGTATCATCTCTCGTCTCTCTCTGGCTTCTTGTTGGTCTAAGCCCCTAACGTCCCACCATGGGAACGCCCTCACAGGTGGGCTTTTGCAGCCCTCCTTTCCAAGAGGGGCAAGGTAGGGCCAACCTTTATTCAGGTGAGGTCCAGGCCTGGCCACCAAGTGGGTGCCACGTGAATTCGTGGGTCGTTTTGAGCAGTTCCAGAGCCCTGGAGCTCCTGATGGCGGACGACGTAAGGAATCTGGGATTGCCCATACCAGAGCTCAGTGGCTTGGGGTCAACCACCCCCGTCCCAATGTTGTATAGAACGGAACCAGATGGTGGACTAGGTGAGGAGTATTGGGGAGTGGACCCCTAAACTTTTCAGGTGAGGGCAGTGAGAGGCAACGTCAAAGCTTGTTTTGGGGCGACTATAGACTTGGGCACAGGCTATGTGCATTAGCAGGAACTATTTCATGGATGCTGATAGTAGAGCCCAGAACATGGGTGGAGGTGGCCTTGTCACCCTGACCCTGACCCTAACCCAACCCTAAGAGGTGAGAGTTGGAGAGGGGAACTGGCTTGCCCCTTGCTCACCATCCACTGGAAACTAATGTTATGCGTTACATTGTGTCGCCAAGAGACTGAAGCTCCAGGCACTGGTACCCCAGAATGTGGCCTTCCCTGGTGACAGTGACATTAGAGATGTAAGCTACAATTAGGTTATCCTGGAATAGGGGGCCCATGCTGTTTAATGCCCCTCATCAACTTGGCAATCACCTGAGAGAGGGCCTTTGGGAATGCCTGTGAGGGATTATCTCCATTAGGCCAACTGAGGTGGGAAGACCCAGCTAGGAGAAGTGAGGAAGCCAGCCGAGCACAATATCCGCGGCTCTCTGCCTCTTGTCTGCGGCTGAGCTGCCTCCTCAAGCCCCTGCTGCTGGTCTGCCCCGCCATGATGGACTGTCACCCCAGACTCCCTTTCTTAATAAGTTACACCGGCGTATTTTATCACAGCAACAGGAAAAGTAACGGAGACAAGCCCCTAAACCAAAGTGTTATGAGGAAAGACAAAGCAAATAGGGAGAAGATGCTTGGGGCTAGCAAAAGCTGGGAAGCCGTAGGGAGAATTCTAACATGAGCCTGCTGACACCTTGGTTTGGGACTTTGGTTTGTGTTGTTGGCTCCATGTTATTTTGGGAGGAGGAGGAAGCTTCAGGGGCTAGGGCTTAGCTGGAGGAGGTAGGTACTGGTTACACTCTTTTTAGTAGGGTAGGTTGGCATGGAGCAGACCAGGCAGATGGCAGAGATAAAGACAGCCTTTTTAATTTTTTTTAAGATTTATTTATTTATTATGTATGCACCATTCTGCCTCCAAGCATTCCTGCACGTCAGAAGAGGGTGCCAAATCTCATTATAGATGGTTGTGAGCCACCATGTGGTTGCCGGGACTTGAACTCAGGACCTCTGGAAGAGCAGTCAGTGCTCTTAACCTCTGAGCCATCTCTCCAGCCCTGATAAAAGCATTCTTACAGAGCACTGGGGAGAGTGCGGTTCTTTTTCTGGGCAATGATTGTTGGGGCCTGTGGGTTATGGTCCCTGGGTCTGCAGCATGCAGGCAGCGAAGTATGAATATGTCATGCGTTGTCCCCTGGGATACTTTATATCCTGTGGTGTATTCAAGGGTAGTCCCGAGTGAGTCAGAAGCAAGAAGGGCAGTAAGGACTTCAGAGTGGGGCTGTGTAGAAGAGAGGCTCACGAAGGGCAGGGGCTCATTAAATGTGGCCTTCAGGAGCAGGAATAATCTAGAACACAACACCAGGCTTTCTGGCCTCTGCTCTGATACTGTGTACATGCCCTGGCAGCCTGTGTCTCTCCCACAGGGGCTCACACCTCATGTCACACCCTGTGACAATGATACTACAGCACAGACATCTCTCATATGCACACCTCAACCACCCCTTAACATACAAGCTTCATATCACACGCACACTGCCTCACACTTGTCGTATAACACCATAGGACATATATATCATCATCACTTCACCCCACAAGGACGCGGGTCTGTCATCACATGGAAACCGCAGGCATGGTTTGCACTACACTAAGAACACAGGACCCATCAGTGCTCCTGTGCCCTCAAACTGACCACATACTTGATGAAGGGAGCTATGGGAACACTATTAGGAGGAGCGGCCTTGTTGGAGTAGGGGTGGTCTTGCTGGAGGAAGTGTGTCACTGTAGAGGTGGGCTTTGAGGTCTCATATATGCTGAAGCCACCTCAGTGAGACAGTTCACTTCCTGTGGCCTTTGGCTCAAGGAGTAGAATTCTCCAGCACCGCGTCTGCCTGCACGCCGTCACGCTCCCCGCCATGATGATAATGGACTGAACCTCAGAAACTGTGAGCCGCCCTCTCAATGAAATGTTTTCTTTTATAAGAGTTGCCATGGTCATGGTGTCTCTTCACAGCTATAGAACCCTAAGCCGGCTCACATCCTTACCGGATGCCCAAATCACCCTCAAAAACACTGTAAATTACCCGCCCTCTCCCACGCCCCAGATGTGAAACGCACACGCTGCATTACCCTTTAATCAGAAGACCTTGCCCCATTGTGTTATAGGTCACAGCCCACACACTCACACAGTCACCCTGATTGAGGATGGGCGTGACACAGGCACCTCTCCTCTATTTAGAGGAACACTGGGGTTCCTCCCAGACATGTGGGTGGAAGAGAACCCCAGGGCTGTTGACCACATACCACAGCGACTGCAGGGTCCAGATATGGAGGGGACACTAGGGTAGAAGCTGGAGCAACAAGGTCAACACTCAGGTTTTGCAAACTGGTGCACAGACCGCCTGCAGCATAGCTCCCAGGTCATGTCAAAATGCACTCTGTTCCCCTAGCCTGATCCTAACCAAAGGGCCTCTGCAGGTTTTTACACACACCCAATGAGTGTTGAGAACCACTAGCCTCAATTGTGTGTGACCTTGACTGAAAGAAGCAGGGTTTGTGCTTTAACAGGCAATAGTGGGATGATGGGAGATAAATGGAGGAAGGTTTTGGAGATGAGTTTTGCAACTTTGTTTAGGTAAAACTGGAGCCTCTGAGGAAAATAAAGACAAGCTGTAACAAGGAAGATCTGACCTGTAGTGGGAGAGGGGTTGACCGGAAAGGTTAATGTTTTATGGTTTGAATACAAAATGCCCTTGATTAAGTTTCTTTTTAGGAAAATCCTGGTCCCCAGCCAGTGGCATTATTTTGGGAGATGGTAGAATTGTTAAGAGTTGAGTCCTAGCTGGAGACAGTAGGTCACAGGTCTATACTTTGAAGTTATCCTTGCTCTCTCTCCTTGGTTCCTGTCTGCTATCAGATGAATAGCTCTGGTGTTGAGTCTTGTTGTAAGCCCAATATCAACAGAGCCAAGGACCACAAGAGGAGCTCTGAAACTGTGAGCCAAAACAAACCTGTCCTCGAGTTGCTTATGGCAGCCTTTTACAACTAAATGCATAGAGTTGGCTCTTTGGAACCTGTCCCTATGGTGGGATGCCTTGTTCAGCCTTGATGCAGGGGGAGGAGCTTGGTGCTGCCTCAGCTTGATATGCCATGCTTTGTTGATTCCCACGGGAGGCCTGACCCCATCTAATTGGAGATGTTAGAAGAGTGGTTGGGGTAGGGAAGGTAGGGGAGGGAGTGTGAGGAGAGGAGGGAAGAGAAACTGTGAATATGAAATATACTTATTTTTAAATAATAAAAAAAGATTAGGCTAGGCTTTTGGAAGAATCAGACATTACACAAAATGGTACACTATAAAGCAGAATGTATATTTCCATTAAAGTAACTGGATTAAACAGTTAAAAAAAGATTGGTACCAGGAATGGGGGTGCTGCCGTGACTAACTGTGAGGGTCTTTACCTTTGGAACTGGTTTGCAGGAGGAATTTGGAAGAGTTTGGACATGTGGGCTAGCAAAGGCCCCAGAGTGCTATAAACTGACCTCAATAGGAGTTTGAAAGGTCAAATTGATGACCAAAAATGTGGGTAGTAAAGATGGTGCTCATGAGGTTTTCACGTTGGCATGAGGATTTTTTTGGGGGGCGGTGTGGATTGCACTATAAGCTATTCATGTTACAATCTTCTTAAGAACTTTTTTTTAACATTTTGCCTGGGTTCTCAGACTTGGTAGAGGGCTGAGTTTAAAAGCAGGGCACTAATTAAACCCTCAGAGGAAGTTTTAAGGCAGTTCAACATCCAGGCTGTGGCATTGCCAGCTGCTTATAGCCAGGTTGATAGTGAGGCTCAAGAGCAAAAAGCTGAACAGAAAATCTTGAAAAACTTGCAGTTTGGTTATAAAAGCCTGTGTGTGTAGCCAGGCATTGGTGGCGCACACCTTTATTCCCAGAACTCGGGAGACAGAGGCAGGGGGATC